GGCGCTGCCCGCCTTGGCGGTCGCAGGGCGCTGATCTGACCCACGTGGCGGGGGAGTTGCAGGCTGTCCTCGCCCGCTAGCGTGGCTCCTTTCCATTAGCCCACGAGTGAACTGCCTGGAAGTCACGTGCGTTGTGGCAAGCACGCAGCGCTCTCCGCGACGCGTGGGTCGGGTTCTCCCCTTCGCTGCTGTGGCAGTGCTGGAGCGTGTGTAGTAGGGAACCGCGCCGAACCCTTGGGCGTCTCGGTTGGTTATGCTAGATGTGACCGCTTCCTCTGTAAACGACACCTGTGTCACGCTCCTCCCGGGGGGGTAGAGGATGTGCCCATTAGAAAACAACCTGTTGTAAGATAGCTGCAGAGACCGATGCTAAGGTGATGTGATGCTCCAGACTTGTATATTAATTAAATCCATCAGGAGCTAAACTAGTGCCTTGTAGAAAAACCGAGTAGTCCTTGTAGCATCTTAGAGTAACAAAACGTGTGGGTGACAGAGCTCCTGATTTTATATATATTTTTAACGAGCTCTCTTGCTTTGTTAGTCCAGGAGTTGTCCTGTAGGACAGTTTTTGTGTTAATGTGAAGACTTTAGAGTTGCTATTGCGATTGTGCAGTAAATGTTGAAAGAACACTAAAAGTTGCAAAGTCAAGGCTCAACTAGGAAATAGCAGAATGAAGGTTGTCTAGCTAATCTAAATTTAGCCCCCATGTGTATTGGCATACAATTTTTAATTGTGATATTGAAAAAAATAGTAAAGGTTCCATTTTTTTTTAGTGTAGATGGTAAACCATGCTCACTAAATATGACTGCTTGGCATTTTATAGTAGTTTAAACATTAATGTCAGCAGCATATGTGAGTGCAAATCTGGGTACCAAAAATTATCACCTAGTTAGCCATCTGTAAAATTAAAAAAAAAATGGTCTGGTAGCACTTTAGACTAACAAAACATGTAGATGTACCATGAGCTTTCATGGGCACAGCCCACTTCTTCAGATGACCAGTTTTGAGTCATCTGAAGAAGTGGGCTGTGCCCATGAAAGCTCATGGTACATCTACATGTTTTGTTAGTCTAAAGTGCTTCCTGACCATTTGTTGTGGTTTTTTTTTTTTTAAGTTTATCCTGTACAGACACTAACTCTGCTACCCCCTGAAGCACCTGTAAAATGTTTGGTTTAAGTGACATGCATAGATTCTCTCTGGCTCTGCCGGAAGTTCCTGCCTTATTCTTCCTCTTCTGAAAGTTCCCTGCCTCATTTGTTAAATACCTTGCAAATGTCTGTAGCTACATACTCCTGAGGAGACAATAGTTCTGTTGACTATCCACCCCCAATTAATTTCTTGTGCACTGCATTAATGAATGAAGGCTGGCTCCTGTGAAGGTGGGAGGATAACAATAATAAAACAAAGAGCTTGTAATGTATACATACTAGGATGCTTCCTAACTGGAGTGAGTACTACACCTTTTAAAGTCTGCCACGTCGAAACCTATTGAGCTCCACCCACGTAAACAAGTGCTTTGGCGATCTACCGCTTGAGTAATAAAATTAATGGATCTCATCCTCCATTTGGCCTAGCATGTAGAGATGAATGAAATACATTTATGGGTTTTACAGCTATTTCTTAGCTGAGGAAAACCTGAGACTTAATCCAAATTCTGGGATTGCTCTCTAGTGGTTTCATTCTTTGTCCCCCTAACATTTGAGTGAGACTACTTTTCTCTTCATGCTTCCCCCACAAGCATTTGGGGAACGTTCGCAGAACAGGATAGTGTTTTCTGTCCTCACTTATTGCCACACCAACTTGGAAGCTATGCAAAGCAATTGTAGGGAGGGGTCGATTAGTCAGAGTTCCTGGTCTGATTATACTTGATACAAACAATTTTCAGAGAATTGAGTTGTCAATTTCAGTAGGTGCAGATGGAAATTTTCAGAGGCTTATAACTTGGTCAGTGTTTATTGCAGAACAGTGATTTGAAAGATGAAATAATGAATGGCAGTTAAGGGGCATGTTAAAAATATTTAACTTTATCATTCTCTTTTCTTTCGACAGATTCAATGCAACATCATAATTGCTGCACAGAAAACTTGCCTTAAATCTATCAAGGCATTTTTCTGAAGCACCCCTCTGGGTACACTGAAAGAATTTGAACATTAGGATTTGACATTTCTTAGTTGTCCATGTAAGTCTGTGGATCTTGATTATCATTTAGTGTTCTGAGAGTCTTTGCTAATTTGACTAAATTAATGAATGCTTCATTCTATATTCACAGTTTGTTGCACTTGTACTCACTTTAGAAGTATACCTGAACTCTGAAACAATGAACAGCTTCAGTAATGAGGAGTTTGACTTCACCTTCCTTGAGGAAGGCTTTACTGCCAAGGATATTCTTGATCAAAAAATAAATGAAGTTTCTTCCTCTGTAAGTATGGTAGCAGAACGTGAATAAATTTTTAAAACAAAATTTTGTGTATTATAATTTTAAATGATATGCTTTCAGCTAAAAATCCTGTACTGTAACTTAGACTATGCAGAACATTATGCAGGGGTTTGGAGCGGGTCCCATATGAGGAGAGGTTAAAGCAACTGGGACTTTTCAGTTTAGAAAAGAGGAGACTGAGGGGGGATATGATAGAGGTATATAAAATCATGAGTGGTGTGGAGAGGGCAGATAAAGAAAAGTTATTTATTAGTTCCCTAAATAGAAGAACTAGAGGACACCAAATGAAATTAATGGGTGGCAGGTTTAAAACTAATAAAGTTCTTCTTCACACAGCGTGTAGTCAACCTGTGGAACTCCTTGCCAGAGGAGGCTGTGAAGGCTAGGACTATAACAGAGTTTAAAGAGAAGCTAGATAATTTCATGGAGGTTAGGTCCATAAAAGGCTACTAGCCAGGGGATAAAATGGTGTCCTTGCCTCTGTTTTTCAGAGGCTGGAGAGAGATGGCAGGAGACAAATCGCTTGATCATTGTCTTCGGTCCACCCTCTCTGGGGCACCTGGTGCTGGCCACTGTCGGCAGACAGGATACTGGGCTAGAAGGACCTTTGGTCTGACCCAGTACGGCCGTTCTTATGTTCTTATGTAATATTGAGCACTGAAGATAACATGACATCCTTTTTATTTTTTTAAAGGATGATAAAGATGCTTTCTATGTTGCTGACCTTGGGGATGTCCTAAAGAAGCATTTACGCTGGTTCAAAGCACTCCCTCGAGTAACACCTTTTTATGCTGTCAAATGTAATGACAGTAAAGCTATAGTGAAAACACTTGCTGCTCTTGGTGCAGGGTTTGATTGTGCTAGTAAGGTGAGATCTTCAGTTTTTTTTGATGGGGTGGGGGGAGAAGTGACTAGTTGAGTAACTAGTTGACTCCAATAAGCATAAGCTTATCTGATAGAGTTGAAATAGTTGCTTTCATCCCTGCTGTAGAGCAAAACTTCTCTAAAAGTGGTCTAAATGCTACTAGATGAGACAGTGAACTACACACAGCAGATGTGTGGGTTACATAGGAACGCTGTTAATCATCAGCTGGGCAGAATTTGAATTTCTTATGGCTGCACAAGCACACAGCTTACAGGGAACACTGGTCCCAACCCAGGACCCTATGAGTGGTGGAGCAGTCCACCATTGGGTCAGCAGGCGATCTGCCCACAACATGCTAATCTATCTTTAGGCTCGCAGTCTACCAGAATATTGCCTGGATCATTGTCCTCTGGTTACACATCCAAAGATAGTTGCAGCGTTTCTGCATCAAGAGTATCCGGGGGAAGCTCCTGCTGGTCCCTGGGGCAACAGCAGTTCTCGTTGCTAGTCTTCAGTAGCAGGGAAGAAGTGTCTATTGCCTCTGGCAGCATCCTCCCAATTTAGCAAATGGGTTGGACTTTCTGTGCTGCCCCTCTGCTTACAGCATATAGGGTGTGGTCCTTCTGGCTCCTCCCACCAAGTGGCTTGTAGCATTCCTTCTGTTTCTGGAGGTGGAGACATGCCAATCTGTTAAATACATTCAAACAAAAGTGAAATAACAAGGTGTTTCCTGAAGGTCAATGCTGCATCTTCATGTTCTGCTTTCTGATTGAGATCATTCATTTGTTGAAAGAGATCCTTGTTTGTGGTGAGTAGTATGTAATCTTTTTTTCTTTTTTCCAGACGGAAATCCAGTTGGTGCAGAACATTGGTGTACCTCCAGAGCGAATAATATATGCAAATCCTTGCAAGCAAGTCTCTCAAATTAAACATGCAGCAAACAGCGGTGTGCAGATGATGACTTTTGATAGTGAAGTAGAGCTAATGAAAGTTGCAAGAGCTCATCCAAAGGCGAAGTAAGGGGGTTTGGGTTTTCTGCATCTAAATGGGTTTAACGTGTCAACATTGACCTATCCTGTAGCAGCTGTGCACCTAAAGTAATGCACACTTAGGTTTCTTTCAAAGCTTTTAACACTTAACACAATTGCAAGAGAATGCAGAATTTTTTGTCAAGATATAAATGTCAAGTATGGATTTAAGAATGTAGCAATTTAAACAGATAACTCATAAGCATGAACATACTGGTTACCCAAACGGCTACATACAGCTGGCCCAGCTCCTGGGGAGCTGCCTGCCACCCTATGCTGCTGCCCTTGTGTTAGGGTTGTAAGACTAGTAAACTAGTTTTCCTCCATCCCTCCCACTGCCTCTATCGTAGGTGGTAATGGAGGGGAACAGGAGCCAGCATAAAAGCCAGTTTCCCCCCAGCACCATCTCCACCAGGGGCAGGGGAGGTAGAGGCACAGTGGGGACTCAAGCTGTCTCTACTTCTGCTGCAATTCTGCTTTTGAAATTTACAAAAGGCCGCTGAGGCTCTTGTACATTTCAGCGGCTGAGGGAGCGCAGGGCCAGTGGGTGAGTTCCTGCTGGTCGTGTGCTCTCTGCGGGGCTTCCACTTTTGAACTGTAGCAAGAGCCCAGCAGGGGCTAGAAATCCCATCGACTAGTCAATTAATCTAACATCCCTACTCTCTCGGACAGCAGAATGGGGTGGCTGGCAGGAGCTGGTATGCGCAAGGAACTGGTTTAAGCCAGCTCCCTGCATGCACTGGCTCCTGAGAAGCTGGCTGCTGCCCCATGTGTAACCACTGTAAATTTCAGTGATTACGCAGTTAGTCAATTAAATGTATGTTAGTATCCCTGTGATCAAGTACAGTTTTTTTTTTTTTTTTTAAAAAGGTAGTGTATTGGCTTAAAGTACAAGAACAATACAAACTTGCTTGACAAAAGTGGATCTAATTTAACATTCAAGCCAATTTGTCTTAAATTGTTATCTTACATCTGACTTGGTATACAATACAAACTTGTTTTTCTGACTTAAAGATACATATCTGAAATTTATTTGAACCAGTGTGTTTTTTCTGTGGCTATAGAAAATCTGGTGTATTGGCATTAAATTGGATACTTATGTATTTTTAGGCTGGTATTGCGCATCGCCACTGATGACTCCAAAGCAGTTTGTCGTTTGAGTGTTAAATTTGGAGCTACCCTCAAAACTAGCAGACTACTTCTGGAGCGGGCAAGAGAGCTTGACATTGACATTATTGGAGTCAGGTTAGTAGTAATGTTTATCTGTATATACAAAATGCCCATCTAGAAATAGTGATTTGAATCAATGTTTTTACAAAATATGTAAGTTACTTGCCACCTCACAAGAATGGACACTTTTTAATCTGCTATGACCTATTACTTTTGTCTAAATGGTTGCTTAAAACTTAGTCATCCAAAAGGCAACTGAGATTTGCATCTGTCTTCCAGTTTCCATGTTGGAAGTGGCTGTACTGACCCAGAGACCTTTGTTCAAGCTATTTCTGATGCCCGTTGTGTCTTTGATATGGGAGTAAGTATGAATTTACTTCCCTGAAAGCATTGCTGCTGAAACACTATGACAAGTCAGCTGTATAGTCATAATGAAATGCCACTTGTAAAAAGTAACAACTTTGGAACCAAAAACTTCAAGAGTATTTTTACCTTTCCTGTATAGCTTGTATTTAGCTTCATGATGTCATATGATCAGTTACATCTTAGATCTTAGCAATCCTCTATTTAAGTTTTGCGGGGTGGAGGGGGGGGATGGGCCTATGACCAGTTTTAAAAAGTTAGTCTTTTTTTAATTGGTCACAGGCTTATTTTTCCTCAGCAAAAAGTCATACATTCCCTGCTGTTCCTACAAAACACTAATGCAGGACAACCAGCAAGTAAAACTTTAGTCTGTTTTCTCTGTCAGAAGTAGGCATGTAAAAAGTAGTTTAAAGTGTAATTGCAAAAAATCTTAGTGGTTACACTTGCTGTGGGCTCTCTAGTATAAAGCTTATTCTAAAGGGGTTGCCGGACCGGCTCCTGGGGAGCCAGAGAGTAACTAGAGGGAGGGCTGAGCTGTAGCAGCTGCCTGCAGTGGGCTCTGCTCCAGCCCCTACCAATTAACCATTTACATCCCTAATCAGAAGTATCAATTAAATGAAACACTTGGGCTAAACTGTCAAGACTGATTTTTGTTGTTGTTGGTTGTTAAATATTCTAGAATCACTTCTTTGCTTGACTGTCCAATTTTAACATGTTTACATTACAGACAGAGCTTGGTTTTAATATGCATCTGCTTGATATTGGTGGTGGCTTTCCTGGTTCTGAAGATGTCAAGCTTAAATTTGAAGAGGTATGATGGCTTTCTAATACTCACCTTTTTCCAGGTTGTGAAGGTGTCTTTTTGCTCAAGTTTATTGTATCAAAATTAAACTACCTGGTTGGTGTCTTGCTTCCCTTTGATAGGTATTAATACAAGGCTATGCCTACACTACAGGGTTTTTCTGGGAAAATCTCCACTGCGTCCAGGGAATGCATCTGCTCTTCCACAAAAAAGGAAGAGTAGACATGCTCTTTCGGAAGCACTGTCGTCTTCCTTCCACAAGGAAGAAGAGCTTTACCAAAAGGAGACTTCCACAATTTGGCCCAGCATAGACAGGCCAAATTTCAGAAAAGCCTCTTCCTAAAAAAACTATGCAAGTTGCACTCTGCAATTTGTATGCCTTTTTCCAATAGATCAGTGTAGTCTAGACCTAGCCCAAATGAAATCTTGATTATAAACTAAAGTCACTCATTTTCTCCTGTTATCTGCAGAATCAAGTAGATCAGTGGTCCCCAACCTGTGGAGGTTGCCGGGCGCCAGGGGACGTGGCCGTTCACCCGCCGGGCGCCAGGGGACGGGGGCGGGGCCGCCCCAT